GGCATCAACAAAAATGGCGCATGCAGGCCCTCGACTCGCGGCTTGCGACACAGAGTCGGCGTTGCACCGACAGCGAGGCCGAAGATGCCGGAAGGGGGTGGGGTCAAAAGGACGTGGAGGCTGTTGTGTGATTGGTTCGACTTCCGGACTCACCAGAGGGCCAAAGAGCTCAAGATGAACTCGAGCAGCTGCAGGACGCAGAATGGGCCAGGGGTCTGGGATTAGATGTGGATTGCAGGATCGGAGACAAGTGGCCATGGTGGCATGTTCTGACCCTTCGTGCGTCTTTGTAGGTGCCTTTTCAGAGACGGTAGCTTTCGCTCACTTCAGCCCTTGAAGGCTCGGGAAGCCTCCCTGGAACGGCGTCTCCAAAAGGATCACGTTCAGCTCGCCGACGACTTGCACACGATTCCTGGCTCCACAACCTCCAACTACAAAGCGTGCTACCCTTCGGTCCTGCGACTGTACTGCTAGAAGACGGAACGGCGCCAAGCTCCCAGGAACATGTTGCAGGTTCGTCGAGAGCTGGCGGATCGAACCGGTACAGTGGAGAGCATCCTGGCATTTGATTCTGTTTTTTGTGGACTCAGCTGCAAGTAGATACCAGGATGTGGTCTCGTATGGTGTGCAGGGAAGGCCGTCAGTCATTCTGCAAGATGGTCGGCACGGGGAGCCTTTGAGCAACGCCTAACTGGGGACAAAATCTCGGATGTTCTGGATTCTGTTGTGGCAAGAGAGACGGGTCTGTACTCGGGGGGGCGTAGCGGACCATATAAGCGCAAGGAAGCTGTGTATTTCATGAGTCTTTTCTTTCCCGGAACAACCCACAAAGTGGATGGGGCCTGAATGGCCTGAGAGAGGAGAAGAAAAGAGATCTGATGGCGAGCGGATACTCTACGCAAAGCACAATTGTGGACGAGTGTAACCCCGACAAGCTGTGAACTGGGCGGGAGAACGAACTTGCTTTTGATTGGCCTTGATGTGACCTACTGCTTGGGAATTCTTCTGGGCATATAGCTTCTCGCACGGTCTGCAGATGTCTGCAGAATCAAATTTTGGTACACGACTGTCGAGGCAGAGTGATCGCAGACGTGGCCGGGCTTCGGGATGAGCTGAAGGACTCCATCGCCTCAGGCCTTGAAGCTTGACAAGCTGTCTGAAGGGCGTGCAGAGCCGATTCCGGCGACTCCTTGCTGAAAGCGCCAACTCGGGAAGGCAGAGACGAGTGGGCCATGCGCCTGAGTGAGGCCCAACAGCAGTTGACGCGGCTTTCGGGAGCCAGTCGATCGCTGCAGGACTCAGGCATTTTCAGGTAGCTTTTGGACCAGCAAATGCCTCAAGTACTCTGGTGGTCTGTGTCACATCGTGTTGTGAATGCGCAGGATTCCCTGGCTGGTTGCCAGAAAGAGGTGGCCGAGCTACGTGATACCCAGCATGCGATGGAGAACTCAGTGGCAGGGCTGCACGCCAGTGTCCCAGTCGCGAGTCCGACTAAGTTCAATAGAAGAGAGACAGCACGAGGCCAGCAGAGACTCCGAGCTGCGGCTGCTTGCGGAAGACAGCCGGGCATTCAAGGCGAAGTTCACGGAAGAGATCCTGGATGCGCCGGAAGCTCAGGCTTTTTTTGGGGGCTGCCGCGTGACAGAGCACTCTTCGAGGCAGGGTGTCAGCCGTTCGCTGGGACACCGGATGAGCACTGTGGAGGCAGCCTGTGCAGGTGCAGACCGGCCCGAAGCCAAGCGGCCAATCTTGAGGTTCGGACAGGAGCGTTTCGTCGAAAGTTCATAACGGCTCGCGTGCCATCGCCACTCCTGGGCTTCAGCGATCAGAGCATGTTTAAACGCAAGGCTGTCTGCAGTTGCAAAGCAAAGGCAATCTAGTGACTAGTGCACAGTGCCAGTGTCGAACTTGGCCGCCACCCCAACCACGATATGCGCGATGGAGGTCGCGTTTCAGATCGTGTGGGCAGAGCTACGGCTGCGGAATTCGTGTTGTCGCAGTCGAAGCCGAAATTTTGTGGCCCCGGCTGTTTCCGAAAGGCCTGGACCCTGAGAGCACGCCGAGCGAGTCGGTTGCCGAGCCCAGGCTTAGAGAATCCCTCAACAGGCCGGACAGGCCTTGGAGGAGTTGTCGTCGTGGTCCCCTTTCGCGACCAGCTACCTCTTCAAGATCGCCGCCGTCAACTGTCCCGGTTCTTGCCGCATATGAAGGAATTTCTTGCTGGCGTCCCACATGCCATAGTTATTGTGGAGCAATCGCAGGATGGGCAAAAGTTCAATCGTGGAAAGCTGTTGAACGTCGGGTTTAAGATTGCCGCCGAAGTGCTTCCTACCATGGAGGTCTTCATAACCCACGATGTTGATCTTCTACCGTCCCCGGACATGCTCCCTGTGTACGTGCGACCTCCTCCTGAGTCACGTGCAATTCATCTGGCCTCGGTGTGGCAGACTCACAGCTTGGACAGCAAGCTTGTGCTGGTTGCCCAACTAACTAGCTCACTCGCGATTCTAGGCGATTTTTCCGTAGGAATCGGTTGTCCACGATTTTTCTCGGATCATTGTCAGGAAATACACCTACAAGAACTTTTTGGGTGGTGTGTTGTCCTTTCGACCCAGTGATTTCGAGCGAATAAACGGCTTTCCGAACAACTACTGGGGCTGGGGCTTGGAGGATGACCAGCTTGGGCTTCGCATGGCTCACAATGGGGTCCGCACACTGGGAGTGAGGCTCGGTGAATTCGAAGACTTGGACCCCATCAACATGAAGTCAATTCTGGAGCGAAGGGACGCCACAGAAGTCAGGAAGCACTTGCCTTGGTATAACGCGAACATGTTCCAACGCGGAGAGCTCACGCTGGATCCAGACTGGTCCACGAACGGCTTGCGTGACCTGGACTTTGAGCAGATCGACTCATGGGTGGACGGCCCAGTTCATCACAAAGTGGTGATGTTGGGCAGAACAGATCCCGCCGCCGGAGCAAAACAACACTGGCTTGAAGCTTGCATGCTTGTTTTTACGATTCGGGAGCGGGATCGGAAAGTTGATTATGCAGAAGTTTCGCCAGCACTTTTCGCTGCTGTGGCCACAGCTTGGATTTGGGCTGCTGCAGTTAGTCAGCTGGAGCCTGTCGTGTGCACGGCCAGTTATGTTGCTTTTTCTGCAGCTCAGGTCGGCCAGCAGTGCTAGAGACGAAGTGCTTGCAATGCGCACATCCTTCCGGAGTTCCCTGGACCATGTGGAGGCACGTTTGAAAGCCGATATCGCAGTCCTTTGAGTATTTTCCTGAAGCCGGCTTGCAGGCCGCGAAAGATGAGCTGAGCAAGGAACTCGAGACCCGAGGCAGGTCGTGTTCGAGGGTTTTTGTGTTTCAGTCTGAGTCGCTACGAAATCTAGGAGTGCTGGCCGAAGGTCGCGCGGTCCGCCAGGCCGTCGAAAAGGCACATCTGGACGGTCATCAGGCGGCGTGCGAGGAGCTTCATCGCACTTCGGGGCCCGAGCTTGTGAGCTGCAGACGACCAGATTCTTATTGTTAGACGGCACTTCTTGACGTTTTGCTTCTCAGGAGCTTTACAAGGAGCAGCGCAACTTGCGTGCAGAGGTCAGCGAGCAGCTCCAGCGGCTGACCAGCGTGGAGCGGCGCGCCAAGGAGACCACGGGCTTAAGTAGACAATGCATGCGCCAAGGACTTTGTGGAGATCAGCGTAAGATAATCTTGGAGATGGGCGGATAGGTAGATAATCAGATAGATAGGTCGGTAGGCGGGCAGGCAGTCAGGCAGGGAGCTTGATAGACAGATAAATAGATTAGATAGCTAGCCGAGAATTAAGAAAAACATAGACAGACAGACATATATATATATATATATATATAGATGGATGGCTGGCTATCTAGGTAGATCGATCGATAGATCTACAGACACAAAGGCATGTGTTTTTTGTGACAGTATGGATTTCTCGCGCTCCCAAGTGGACCTTGTGCAGGATGTGGCACGAGGCGAAGAAGCCAGCGCACAGCGGGTGGCAGCTCTGTCAGAGCAGGCGTAAGGGAATGTCAACTTGCTTGAGCATCGCCGTACCTGCCCTCGCAGGTGGAGCGGCTCGTCCGCGCGGCACAGTCGCCAAGCGATGCCGGGCATCGTGAGGTCTTTGCTGAGCTGCAGACGGCGGTCGCACGCATGGAAGAGCTGCAGAGCCAGGCGTGTGTGTTGGACTTCCCTGGCATGCCTGCTCCGAAAGAACAGTGAATCACTAAGGTCAATCGCTTGCTGCGCGACTCGAAGAAGAGTACGGAAAAATGGGAGACGATGTTGCCCCGGCTACAGGATGCCGAGAGGGGATTCCAGGCTTCCGGGCATTTCATTAATTTCGGGACATGGAGTCGGCCCCTGACAGGAGACGGAAAGGGCGGTCGAGCGGCTCTCTCGTGGTCCCACACACATGTATCGCGAGATGCAGGAGCTGAGGCCCGTGAACCCGGCCTCGCCACATTTCAAACTGCGTTGCGTTGATGTTTGCTTTGCTTGATCAGGTCCCAGCTGGCAGAGACGCGGTTGCAGGCCTCGCTGACACCACGAACTGACCGTACTGGCAACAGGAGCCTGGAAACGCGGCGCTTGGGCTCGGGCTGGCTTGGAGAGCTTTGAGACGCCTACAAGACATCAGTCCACGCACGAGTGTACATAGAAGGTGCCAATGAACATGCATCTGCTGATACGTGAGCAGATTCAAAGTCAACGTGTTGTCAGTGTTTTGGCTGCGGGTTTCGACGGACCAACAGATCCAGCAAAAACAACCCGATCTAGCTTTCTGTTAACAGTCTCCGGTTTGGGAATCGGAGTCGAAGCCTGCGGGAGCTTTTCTCCTTGCCAAAGACGTAGCCATCCACTGTCACCGTGCAAAAGTGTTGTGGCGTGATGTGCCGCGGCCATGGCTAATGGGAGCTTCAAGAGCTTTGGGTGTGTGCATGTGTGTGCGTGTGAGTTTCTGTGTCCCCGTGGGCAGGTTCCAGTCTTGACGCGGAAAGTGCCAGGCGTTGTTTTGAATGGGCGGGATACAGCAACGGATGCACAGTTCTTGGCCGGGCCTGAAGAGGTTTTGAAGTTTTTTGTGTTCCGGCTTCGAAGGGCTACGCTCTAGTTACTTCAGCTGGGTTGGCCTCTGTACTTAGTTAGGCTGCCGACAGGTTCTGGCAGGGCTTAGGGCCCTCCGGGTTTCTGGATTGCTGTAGCTTCAGGTGACTTGCGTTGGTGTCGGGCTCATGCTTTCTCAGCCTTTCGTGAGTCTTGGCTTTCGGGGCATAAATTTATTAAAATGATTCAATCAGGCAAAAATTCAATCAGGCGCTTTGAGAAGATGGGCTGTGTTAGGTCAGGTGCGCTACCTGCGTGGTTCGGTCTTTGGGGAGTTTCGGGATTGTCAGTCTAGTGTCTGTTTTGGTGTTGGTGACAAGAACGGTCTGGCTTGGTGAGCTGCATTTCTTTGCTGCCTTGCCCGTAGTTTCTCCGCTCAGTCAGTTAATTTCCGGCTGATTGGCAATCTGTGTATTCCAGTGCATTCGCCAGGAGTCTCTTCTGAGGCGAAATTATTTCTGGGAGCAGGGCTCTCGGATTGCTTCGGCCATCCTGGCAGCACCACCACATCACCTGGCTCAGGTGTATCCACGTGGCCGGAATCCATGAGGATGTGTAGTGAAGTGAACTTGGCGCTCGCAGCTTCAGCAGTTCTCAGGCCTGAAACACATTGCCGTCGCTGAGCTAACGGGCTGTAGCCCTGGATTCGCAGCGGAAGACGCGATGTTCAGCGGCCTGGTTCACTTCCCAGGTCGTGGTGAGGGACTTCAGATCTGGAAGCACCATGAGGAACCGCTCTTCGACCTGCGAGCTTGCAAGAAAATGACGAGTCGGTGCACGGCGCGAGTCGGAGAGCTAAGTTTTGACTGTTGTTCCTGAACTGGCTTGGGCACTCTTTGGCCAGTAAGTCGGTAATGTGCGTGTATTTGTGTATGTATCCAGGTATGTATCCTGTATGCCCAAAACTGTCCGCAAGATGTGATCCAGCGCAGGAGCATTGTGCCCTCTTTTTTCAGCTTCCAGAGGCTTGGCTTCGAGCTTGGCATGTGCACCGGCCATAGCACATCTCCCAAATTCTTTTTTTCGGACAAGGGGCCCGTGCTGGAGCTTGGTCGGATGCTCAGGTCTGCGATCCCACAGCTCCGGGCCTACGTGCCCACATTCCATGGTGAACTGAGGTTCATTCCTGCTGTTGTGCGAGGTGCCCCCGCAATGCGCTCTCGATGAGCTAGGGCCCTAGGCACTTGGCTTTCAATGGTCGCAGTCAACTTGCAGCGTTGGCTGATCAGGACGGGTCTTTGGCTGCCGCCCGAGCCTCGGAGGTACAAATGTGCAGAGACAGTCCGTCTGCAGAAGGATCTTTTTGGTGCAACTCTCAGTTCCCGTGCTACTGAACCCCTCCCATATTCCCGCGAAGCCAAGCATTCTTTTTTCTGTGTGCAGGGAGCTTGCCTGTCAGTCCTGCCTTCGTGACGCAGGATGTAGGAGAGTCGGTTCCCACCGTGGTCTCCGAGGCCGCGGCCGACGTTGCATGACCTCGCCCGAGCGGCGCGAGCTCAGGCCGCCCGAGTCGTCCGATCTTCCACCTCGGTACGTTTTGGCGCAGCTTGCATGAAGCATGCAGCCAAGCGTGGCCATCACCATCCCATTGTATTGTAGCCTTTCCTGTCCCCCCCCTACCTGCCTACCTCTCCCGCTTGGCAGCTAGACGGTTGGGTTTTGGACCAAGACAATGCTCTGACTGCAATATGCAGGATCCATGGCCTAGGGCGTGCCCCTGCAAAACGAGACGATCGTAACGTGATCTGTGGTGGTGATTGTGTGCTTCTGCTTCGGCTAACTCGGGGATGAGCGCGTTCAGATTGTCTGCCTAAGCTGACAGGCCTGTTCCGCGGTAGCCTTTTGGCGTTCCAGAATGAGGGACTTCAAGACTTGGCGAGCCTCAGCCACAGTGCAGCTTCAGAAGTTTGCGATGCTGCGTTGCGCTTCTGTTCTGCCCGCTGTCTCGGTCACGAGGAACCTTTCCTTGCCTTATGTATCCTTTCTTGACAGATTGTACCGGAGGGTCTGGCAATGGTCTGGCAGCAGAGCATCAGGAGTATGCGGAGTGCTCAATTCCATCGCGACCTGTGCTTCCAGAAACAAAACACCAAAAAGCCTCATGGTGTGTGATACCGCCGATGGCCTGCGAGCTCCATCACTCGCCTGGGCGTCTAAAGCGATGGGTTCAGGACCTGTTGCAGAAGTGCCTCTCTTCGCAAGGCTTGCACGCCCGCTTTTGACAGGAGCACGGCAGGAGACGCACCCCGCGGACCACGGCGCCAGAGCGCGTGCAGGCCAGGTGCCGCGGTTGCCTTTCCCTGTGTGCTGCCCCGTGCTTGTAGCAGGAAGCTGCCGCTCACCTGGAGTTGGTTGTCGCCCGCCGAGAGGCGGAAGTTGCGGAGCTACGGGTCGAGGCGCAGAGAGCCAAAGCAGCTCTCGAAGATGCTCAAGAAAAAGAGGAGGAGGCCCGGGCGGCCGGGGAAAGGATGGGAAAGGAATGTGTTCTATGCCGTTGCTTTCTGTACACGTCAGCCTGACATCCCGAGGAGGCTGCGTCTCAAGAGGCAGCGCAGGTGGCACTTGCCAAAGACTTGCAGGCAACAGTGCGGGAGCTGCGACACTTCCTGCGGCAACGTGTTGCGCTGCGTTGTTCGAGGTGTCACTGCACGGAGAGAAGGAGCTCTTGGAAAGACTGGATGCAGAGGAAGAAGAAGCCAAAGCAGATGCTGCTTTGCTCCCTGGTGATGATGTGGGGCTGGTGTTTTTTTTTTCCGCTTTAAGCACGTCGGAGGTCCCTGACGCAATGCCTGGGTTTGGCTGTGAAGGTGCGAACGTGCAGACTCTCAGAGGAGCATTGCCTTGGCTGAGCTTCGCGAGCTGCACAGCCACCTTCAACCGCTTGAGGACCGATGTTGGGGCTTTAGCGGGCTGGACTGAGCATCTGAACGGCAAAAGTCCTGTGCCAAAATGAGTGAGGAGATCCTTGCACGCGAAGAGGCCTGCACCGGGGAAGGACATGGCGGCAAGAGAGAGAGCATGGAGAGGAGAGAGTGGGACTGAGACTAAGTCACTAAGTGACTTAGGCGGCCGTGGCAGCTTTGAGGTCGGAGCTCACAGCAGGCGAGAGCTCACGGGCCTGGCCTTAAAAGGCCCCGCACTTGTGTGCCTCTCTCTGAGGCCAGCTGCGTGCAGTGGCTTTGGCGCAAGAAGCAGCAGAGGCAAGCCGCAAGAAGCAAGCTTCTCTTGACGTCTCGGGCTCAGTGGGCTTCTCGCGTGCAACGGTTTCCGGGTGAACTTCGTGGCGGCACTTTCTCACTGCAGTAGTATCCGCACGGCTCGTGGCCAGAACTGAGCCCGAAATAGCAGCAGCACACGCACACAAGGCACATCCGGTTGGTGCCGGTTGTCGCGTTCCGAACTGTTTATCACTCCCTTCTTGTTGTTTTTTGGTTTTCAAAGTAGTCTCATGTTAAGACGGTTCTCGAAGTACAATTAAAATGAAGGTCAGATGCGGCATGTGGTGTGTGGCACTTGCATGGACAGCTAGACTCCCCTGCTGCTATCCAGCAATGGCACTCGAACAGGAGCATCGATCAACGTGGTTAAACACAAACCTCCGTGGATGCAGCGTGTCATATCCACAGACGAACGCCAATACAGACAAAAATGAGTCACCTCCTACCTAGGTTATCAACATGTACGGCCATGTCACTATCACGCCGAAACGGAAGCAACAGTGATCGGTTATACAGTATGAGTTCGAGGTGAGGTTGTGCTAGGGGGCAGGGTGCTCCCACTCACGCGGCCGGTGACTTGGGACTTCGCAGCTAAGCGGTTCCGACACGGAGGCCTTGGAAGGGGCCCGCCCCCAATCGCGCGGGCTCCCACTCCCATTCCACAGCGTTTTGGTTCCACTGCTGGCGAAGGCCCGACATGTGACAAACGAGCCGACATCCTGTAGTAGCCATCTTGGGGATTCCTGCTGCCCGAGATGCATCCCGCGTTCAACATGGTGTCATGCTCAACACTCTTGACCTGGGTGTTTGGGATTTGGGATAGCAGATGTGTCCCGGCATCATTACCTCACTTAATTCGGCTGCATTGCATGTCGCCCCACTTTGCGGTTCCATGTCTGCTATGTCATGATATGTCATGATATGTCATGATGTTTTGCGCAAGATGTAGCCCGACAGTATTTTGGGCCTCCCAAACTGACGCACTGGTGCGACACCTCCTCGTGGTACTGCAGTGCGCACACCTCCCGGGCAGTGCTTGCATGAAAAGTATAGCCAGCAGTGTGCAGAAGCTGAGACTGTGAACTTACACCTCATTCCCGAATGTTCAACCAGGTCCGTGAACCGTTGATTCACTACTTCGCTGGTCGCGCTTTCCAGGAGCGCCTCTTGAACACTGGCTTTCCTGTCCTGGTTTTGAGTTGCAGGACTGGGAGGAGAATCGAGCAGATGGTCTTCGCAACAGGTGTAGTGCTGAGATCTGTGGCCGCGTGAGCTGTGCGCACTCCATAAACAGTCATAATAGATGCCCGCGACGCGGTCGCATCAGAGCTGCAGCCGAGCTGTGGATTTCTGGAGTTGTTGAACTTCCAGGAGCTCGGGGCAGCCCAGGCTTGGAGTCAAGAAAGCAAAGTCGTGAGAGCGAAGCTGCTGTCCAAAAAGCGTGTGTCACTAAAGCAGCGAACATGCACGGTTTCGGTGAGACCGGAGGAACAAGGAAGCATTCTGTCATCGAAACAAAAATCGACCCGAGAATGACATGAACTGCCGACATCTCCGCAGGTTAGCAGAGCTTTGGGCTTGGCCCCAGGTGAATTTAGAGGGGCAGTCTTCGCCAGGCCGCCAATACGCCAAGGCGAGCACCCCTGTCGAGGAATGAAAGGGGGAAGGATCCAAGTTGGGAGGTGGAGAAATCACGAGCCCAAAGAACGCAAGCTGGGACCAAGCCTGACAAGACTCTGGCCGAGGCTTGTCCTGAAGCGCTGCTTCCGACGGTTTCAGGCCATCGGTGAGGCAGCAAGCAGGCTTTGCCACCGAGCAGCGCCTTGGACGCCTTACACGGAGTCCAAGAGCGATGATTCCCAGGCTGCATGTATCCGAGGCTGCTTTCGAACTTCGTCGACGTCAGCAGTTGACGAAGGAATCCCTGGACTGTTGGAGGTTTGTCCAGGCCGTCGCCAACTCCCCCGCTACTGCAGCTTAAACATGATGCTGGTATGGGGGACGTACATGAAACCTTTAGAAACTGCGGACATGGTGGAAGTTCAACGGGCTTACAATCCTGGGACGTAGCTAATGTTCGAGGGCATGCATCTTTGTCGCGAGCAGGGAGACTGGCAAGTGGAGGAGCGGCTGTTGATGCAGACGCTCGGCGACGGCTGGCAAAGAGGCAAAGCCAGAGTGGAGGATCTGCAGTTGCGCGCGGCGTATCCGAGGATAATGCGTGCCTGGGCCGAGCAACGTCTCGGCGCGACTGGGCGGCGCTTGCGCGCTCTCCAGCTACGCAGGCGATAGTATCGAGACAAACTTGTCTTGTCGGGAAAGTCACAACAGCCCCCAATTCGTCTGAGGTTGGCTTCCGAGATATGGGTTTCTTGGTCGAGGTGGGCTGACGGCTTACAGGAGGGCATGTGGACAAAGCATGTAGCAACATTGACTGCCGGAGTAACTTGCAAGTGCTTCAGGCTCGTACCAAAGCGACTGCCGACGGCTTGCTTCCTTAGCGTCGACTCGGTCAGCTTGCAGCCTTTCCAACGACTGAATCGCGGAAGGCATTGTTGCAGTCGTGGGACAGCATACAATGAAGACGGACTCCATACACATACACTGTCTCATGCATGGTCCACTCATGTCGCCCTGGCAGCTGCCTCGGTGCATTCCGTGGCTGGAGCTTTCTGACCTGGCTCCGCTCCCGGCAAACGTCGCTGGCGAAGGGTTTCTGGAAGCGTCGCCGAGCAACAAACGTTGCAAGAGCTATGTGGCAACTCAGGCGCTGTCTGCATCGTTTAACTGGAAGTCGTTTTGCTCTCCGTCCTGCCTGTCGAAAGGGCTTCGGTGACACAGCGGCGATGCTGGCATCGCTGTGCACCATTGCACTTTGGCTACCGCCTATCCCACACCTCAGAGTCTTGAGATGCTGGGGTTGCTGAGGCTGTGGCGACTTTTCACCATGCACCTCTTTTGCTGGCAGCGGCGCCAGCCATTCGTTGGCTTCTTTGTCTGGCGCGGCGTGCAGCGGCGCTGCAAGCGTGGGCGGTCCATGGCCATGGACAGCCGGGCAGTTTCCGCTGGCGGCAGCGCAGTCTATGCACAGATTCCGTCCTTGTCCAGCATGTGCCGGTGCTTGTGCAGTGCCGCAAGGAGAAGCTATCTCAGTGTGGGCAGAGGGAATCATTGGCCTGGAGGACGTCTGAACATGACGCCATTATCATGCTTTGGCGTAGAACACAGGCGGTGCAACATAAGAGCAGAAGAGGAACTGCATCGTGCGTGCACGAAGAGAAGCCGAAGCTGCGAGGAGGGAAGTTTGGAAGCGTTGGCATGATGTTTTGGCTGCGGGGTATGCAGCCGTGCAAGCCGCTGCCAGCAGTCTCTCCGCGCGAAGAGCTCGGCACCGCCAACGTACCTCGGCAAAGGGACTTTGATTCAGGCTTGACGTGCTTTCTTTGTGTTGGTAGGGTGTTCTCGACCTTATCGACAAGTCCGTCTCAGCCAAGGACTGTGGTTCCTCTGGCTGCTCCGCAGTACCCGACTATCAGCTTCCATGCTGAACCCGTGCCATGCAGTGCAGCAAATCAGTTTCTACGGTTGCTGTGTGTTTGCCATATTAAAGGCTGGACAATCATTTGGCAGTTTCCTTTCGTGCCTGCGTCTGTGCAAAGGAGGTGTGTGGTTTGGCTTCGAACGTCTCGCTTGAAGTCCTGCTTTCAGCACTGGTGCAGACGCATCTTTCAAGCTCGCCGTCTTTGCTGGTTGATCTTTGGATGCATCCGTTTTGGCCTGGGATTGAAAGTGCACGGGAAAACTGGCACAGTAATGCAGGGACAAGAATGGCTTCTGGCACACCACGTGCCGTGTGTGTGTGTAGCTTTGTCTTTTTGTTTCTGTTTGTGTTTGAGCGGCATAGTGCCACCGCTGCACAATTTCGGTCCGGTTTTCCGCATGCGCCTGCTTTGGCAAGGGTCGTTTTTGAAAATTTAAGTGCCATCAGGAGCAGACACATGCGCCATCGTCTCCTGCAAGTTGTCGTGCAGAACTGGGCATCGCGAAGGCACAGACACAAAGTTCCGCGTGCTGCAGCGGAAGTTGGCAGCGGCCCAAGCCAACGGAAGATCACCACAGCATGCTTGTCACTTCCTTACTATCTGTTGGGGAGGCCAGGCACATCGACGAAAGTCACTGCATCGCAACATTCATCTTTGGTTGTTGGCCTTTGAACGCAGGAGGCTGCAGGCCGGCTGAGTTGCGATTCTTGTTTCATCGGATAAGCTTGCTTTGCTCGCCGCTGCGCGAAGGCCATCTCCTTGCCGAGAGGAACGATGAGAGCTCAGGTGCCAGAATTGCACGCCTGTGTCGAGTTCTCGTATAAGTGTCGGGTGGACGATGGACGAGCCTGACGGAGAGATTTACAGCTTGGCGGTTTGGTCTTCTCATGTCAGTCATGTGGCTCAGGCCCATCATTGCTTCCTGGCAGAGTTAGGTGCAGCTCGTGCGGCTGAGCTGCTCAGATGCATGTCCGACACGAGGGCATTTCCCTCCAAGTTTGCGTTCCTGCACCGATTTCGTTGCTAGGACGAATCTGGCCGAAGAAGAAGCCATGATCTCGAAAGACGCTCGGCAAGATTCAACCTGAAGTATAATATGTGCATTGATGCCCAGCTGCAGGAAACAATGTCCTTGCGAAGTGAACTGGTCCCTGCGGCTCACGACGCCGGTTTGGCGAGCCATAAGGCGGAGCAAGCCCAGATGGAGCTGCAGGCATCCGTCTGCAGCAGTGAGCGATAGCGAGCTGGTCATGAACCTTTAGCCTTCGCTGGTCGCTGCTGGCAAGCGCAACATGCGAAACAAGCCAGTTGCTTGGTTCAGGTGCAGGTCAAGGCCTTGGAGGAGTTCGAATGTGCCAAAGTGGAGCAGCAGCTTTGTGAGGCCGCTCGCCCACCGTTGGACTTTGCTTGATTGCTGGAGTCTGAACGAAGTGACAGCACTCCAGTAGTACTGCTTCGGCACGCTATCGCTCAGGTTCTGCGACTGAACGTGGAGTTAGCCCGCGGGTTTCGAGAGTCGGAATCCTGCGTGGCAGCTGCTGCGATGCGTCTCGATGCTCTGTGCAGGTTGGGAGTGAATGTCTTGGGCAGACCAGAAGCAGCCTCAAAGCGATGGCTGCACAAAAATGCAAGGTATAGGCCTATGCAACAGAACCTTTAGGGTCTATTTGGCATGTGCCTTTGGTCGATAATTTAAATCGGCGCTGGACTCGGCATGTCGAATCTAAATCGGGGCGGACTGGGGAGTTTGAATTGAATTCAGGACCGATCCGGGGATTTGAAATTTGAATCGACGGGACTCGGGCACAGCCATATACATGTCTTGAAAGGCCGAACATTGGACTTTGTGATAGACACTGAAACCTGAACCCAAAACCCGAGCTGCGAGAGTGTGACCCAACACCCTCCATCTGGATCGTACAACTGTGGCAGTTCGTCGGCGTCTCTACGGAAGCAGCTGGATTCGGCTGATCAACAGTGCACCGACAACACGGGCGGGACTCACCAGCACTCAGCGTGAGTCCAGTCAGGTACACGGCTGCAATGGCCACACTGGTCGCAGAGGCAGCCTGGTTGAGGGAGCAGCTTGGCCGAAAGGCATGGTTCTGGCACCACCTGCACTAGGCCTCAAGCCTGGCAAGCCGAGTTGGTGGGTAGGTAGGTAGGTAGGTAGGTAGGTAGGTAGGTAGGTAGGTAGGTAGGGAGGTAGGGAGGCAGGCAGGCAGGCAGGCAGGCAGGCAGGCAGGCAGGCAGGCAGGCAGGCAGGCAGGCAGGCAGGTATGTCAGAAAAAAAAATATATACATACATAGATGTATTTGTGTATTTCTGTATATACACATACATACGCATATCTCTCTCTCTCTCTCTCCCTCTCTTTCTCTCGCTCTGTTGATTTGCCAGCTCCTCCTCCTCCTCCTTCTCCGCCTCGAGGACATAGCTTGCGACTATCGGCTCCGGGGCGCCATCTCAGATGAGTGCAAGCAAGAAAATAAAAGAGCGCTGCTTCCGGTGCTGCAGTGATGACAGAAGCTCTAACATCCACATGTGCCCACTGCCGAACTTGCAAGCCTTGCATTAGGTCACGGTGCACAGAAGTGGAGCAACGCAGCGATGGAGGGCAGCTTGGAGCACACTTAACACACTTGAGATAGCGAGTCAGGGCGGCCCGGGCCCGGAGTGGTGGCGGCGTTTTGCTTGTACTGCCTGCGCCTGGCGCCGCACGTCAGAGGCTCCGAGAGCATCAGAGCATCAAAAAGTTGCTGAGTGTGCCAGTCGCCGGAAGCAGCAGTGGTCATCGGCGAGGCCCTTGCACCAGCGCAGCCCCCAGATGTCTCGAGCGAGCTAGGCTCGCATTTGCCTCGTTGCGGAGTCTACCAAGTCCATCGCTCTGAGGCCGGGAGCGTGGCTTTGAGCCCGACTTGCACGGCGGGACCACAGGCGCTGCAGACTCCTCGCGCGTTCATGCTTCCTGCCTTGTTTCCATTTCAATCATATTCAAAGTTTAGTTCTGCATTGTGCTGCCGCTGGATTTTCTTGGGGCCCAAGAGAAGTACACAGCAATTAAGCCTGGCTGTAGTGTGCACGATGCCATGCGCACAGCGAATCGCTTGGCCATCTTGCAGGACGTGCGCCAGGGCCTCGTCGACACGCGGAAATGTGACCATCATGACAAGCTGTGAGAGCTGCATTGGTTCCTAGGAAGACTGGCTATCGTCGAGGAGGAGATACCCAAGCCTGCAGACGGAGAGGTACTGGTGCGCATCACCCATGCCGGGTTATGCGGATCGGACTTGTGGCTTGACATGGCTTGACCGTTTCTCCGCTGACCCCAAGTCCGAGGCGAGCCTCAAGGTGGAATGTGTGCCTTGCCGCCTTGCCCAGGCATTACTTTCGCCATGGAGGCTTGGGATCATTCAAGACACCAATGCCGATGTATATGGGCCACGAGCCAGCTCCTGGATTGACATGACAGCTGTGCCCCTGCATGCTCGTGAAACATCTGGGGCATGTAAGGCTGGCGTTATCGCAGATGCGAACAAGTGTCCGGGCTGGGCAGTTGGAGACCGCGTAGCAGTGGTCCCTAACTGCCCATACCTTGGTTCGAAAATGTCCATGAGAGGCCAGGACCGCACTTTGCGTGCGTGCTCGCCCTTGGCAAGCATGTTCCATAGGAAAGCAGCACCTCTGTGAATGCGGCACCTTCATGGGTGCTGGGAAGACCCGGGGCTGCTTTGCGGACTTTGATTCTTGGCTGCGCATACGCAGTTCTCTGCAGGCTTGCAATCGAAGGATTGAGGATGTGTGGCCCTCTTTGTTGCAGTGCTCAGGTGTGCGTCAGCGCAGTTCAGCTCGTGCGAGTTCCTTCGCACGTGCCTCTCGAGCTGGCCATGATGACCGAGCCACTCTCTGTGGCTCTGCATTCGTTGCTTCTTTGCAGGGAGCTGTCACACGTCACTTCTTACTCGCAACAAGCCGGAATCTGAAATCTGAAACTTCGGCGAAGCCTGCCCCTGCTAGTATCATGTATTCTCGTACTGTGTCTTCTGCTTGTTGCCCACTTCGTCCGTTTTTGCACCCTCTTGCGGGCGGGGCTCGGGGGGTCATTGCCCTTTCTGCGCTCTAATGCTATACAAAACGCTTCAGATTTCGACTTGCGCTTACGGGCTAGTGGTTCCGCACCCTCACACCCTATGCGGGAGCCAAAACCGCCCTATGGGCGCGGAAGTCTTGCTTCCTCCTGCCACCTCCTGAACCCGTTCATATGCCGTCGGATGACAGATGGTGCTTCTGGCTAACGTACTCTGCCAGTCAAGGAAGAGCACATATGTCTCTGCGGACGAGGGGTTTGGTCAGAGTAGGAGACAACAGCATGGACGAAAGGCTGAAGTTGAGCCAAACCGCGATTTTGGACGCGGTGGATGGCGATGTTTGCATCTTCGGTGCTGGTGCCATCGGGCTGTGCCACCTGCTGTTGTTGAAGCACGTGGGAGCCCGAAGTGTGCACATCGTGGAGCCTTTGGAAAGACGACGCCAGGCTCAACCGAGCGCCCTGAACCTGAGAAAACAAAGCCAAGCTGGGAGCTGCCAAGGAAGGGAAGTGGCTCTCCGGCTTGGAGCCAGCAGCGCTCACCCTAGCGAGGGCTGCGCTGCAGGGCTCAAGGCCAGACTAGGCAAAAGTGGCTGCGAACTGGTCTTCGATTGTGCCGGCACAGAGCAGCTCCCCGGCTGCGTTGGATGTGGGTCTTTCCTTGAGTCCATGCTCAAAAATCCAAGGAGCTTTCAGGCCGCCCTGCAGGCCTGGTGTGCGGGCGAAGTGTGGCATTCCGTTCGCAGTTTGGCCGCCCCAGAGGTTGCATCCAGCGCTGCTTTGGTCGTGCTCGTCGGGATCCCGGAGGTGGACCACCTGCCCTACAATCCGCATGTGGCTCGCACGAAGGAGCTGACAATCCTCAATGTGCGCCGTGCCAACCAGACTTTGGCAACTTGCCTCGAGCTGCTCTCGACATCAGCCCAGCTGCGGGAAGGCTGCTTGACGATGCTAACGCACCAAATGCCCCTTTCGACCCTTGGCTGCACGGCTTAAACGACCACGAGCAGGGCACCTTGCCCGTATCGCGGCTTGTCGCCAGGAGCATCCAGTCGGCGTTTGAGATGGCATCATCGTACCAAGATGGTGCGATCAAAATTGCATTGCTGCCGGAGGTCAAACGGCATAATTTGAAGCGCGTGGGCCTCATCGGCGGGACTGCACACAGCGTGGAGTATTTCAGGCAGCTTCAGGCAACTCAGGGGATCGAGCTGGTCCTGGTTGCAGTGGATGAGATCGACTCAGCTGTGAAGTGGCCTCATGTCGTCGAGCACCGAAAAAAGCTGTCCGACCTCTGCAGCGAGCAGAAAGTGCGACATCTTCTTCTGGATTCATTGACAGAGATCCCGACTGGTGTGGAGGACTCGGCTCGAGACTTAGCAGAGACTCGCATGCCTGCTCTCTGATCTGTGCAGGAGCTTGGCCTGGACTTGCTGATAGATGCTGGCTGTCATCTGCAAGTCGATGCGCCTCGTGCAGCTTGGCTGTTCGGGCCCACCGAAACCGCTCACTTATTCCGGGTCCGGTAGCCTATGTTCGACAGCTCCGTCAATTCAAAATCCTCGCAGCTCGCGCTGTCGTCGCTGTCTCTTGGTGCGTTTTGTACAAGGCCATCTTGTCCGAAGCATTGGCGCCGGACGGCATTCGCGTGACGACAGCGCTGGCACTGCCCTGCGCTTCGATGGCTTGTGCCTTGCTCGGGGGCGGCCCCGTGGGCATAACAAGTAACCTGGCCTGCAGAAACACGAGTCCGTTTGTTCCAATCATTCCTCGACAAAACCTGACCTCAATAGCCTAGGCTTCATTACCGAGGACCATCAACGGCAAATGGTTCTCGTGCAGAGTCAGCAGCCAGCAGAAGCCAAGCGTGTAAATCCTGACAGGACACTTTGGTGGACATATGCGAAGTGCAAACGAGTGCCTGCTCCGGATGGGAGACAATAGAGACGCATCACGGCGAAATCAAGAATGCCTTTTGTGAGAGAGAGAGCACGCGGAGGCAAACATGTGGTTTAGGATCTCAATGTGCAGAGTGCACTCTTCGTTCCTCAAGAATGTGCACTCACCAGGCTATCTGCAGCTGCCGCACGCCGTCTGCCGGGGTGGATCCAAGCTTTGCAAACAGGTGACTATGCATCGGCCTGAGTTGGTCAGAGTGGCATGTCAGGCTTGCCGTCAACGACGCGTGTTTGTTTGGGTCATTGAAGGACATGTCTATGCTGGGCGTGTGGCGCTCTTCGCGAAGGTGCTGGAAAACGTCAGGAGTCACTGTGCCAAAAGCATTTGAGCCTGGCAAGCTGAGTACATTCGTGTTCGAAGGAGCCGCCGTGCCCGTGCATCCGAACGAGGGCTGGGTGTCCTGGCACTGGCGGAGAGCCGGCCTTGGCGTTCAGCAGCTGTGCGGTAGCTGTGCGGTCATGGTCCGAGGGACCTGCGCTTGTTCGGGACGACACCCAGGCAGCTTCCTGCAACGCTTCGCCCGCTCTCAGCAACTGGAACCGCATGCCCAAGCCACACGCCTCTGCCGGGAAGACGGCCAGGCTGACTACGAGACTTTTTCGCTTGTTGACTGTGTTGGCTGTCCATGTGAGGAGGTGAGATTCACGGTGTTGCAGGCCTTGACTGCTTGTTGCCAGTGTGTGCGTAGTAGATGCAGAGTTGTTGATGTGGTGAAGGTGCACGCCGTGGAGGCTTAGATGCACTTGAGATTGCCTGCAAAGTCTCTCTTCGTCGAAGCGTGCCCCGTCTGCCCCGCAGTGCGGCCTGACATACACTTCTCTGCTCAGGAAAAGTTCCTCACAGCCAGGGAACGGCTGCAGCGCTTCGCATCGGCTCTGCCCGGTGAGGTGGTTTGCGAGTATCTGAGGCCACATGAAGCTTTTGTAGCCTCTGCCTTGCAGCGTGGAGGTGCTTTGTGTGGATGGAGACTGCGCGTGGGTCCGAGGTGCCTGCTAGTAGCTGCTAGTACAGACGTGCTCTTTGTTCGCACTTCTCTGACGGATGCACGCATGTTGGGCTGGCAGGTGCAGATGCTGAAATCCAGTGTCAGCTCTCCGACACGCTGTGCAAAGGCGAAGAAGCAAATAAGAAGATGTTGTGCCTGGTAAATAGCACGATGCGCTGGCATACCCCCACTGCACCTGCAGGAGAGGTGTTACGATCCATCGGAGATAGGGGTGCGCATGGCATTCCCATCGACTTCTCCGGTGTGCCTCAACGGCAGTTTCTCGCTCAAACGGCTTAGAGAGAATTCAGTCGTGCGGCCCATGCCTTTGCCTTTCAGGAGCTGTGGCTGCCAAGTCTGCCGACGATCACTGATGGCGTATCAGTTTCGCCGACGCCACCTGAACGGTCGCGCACTCGCAGACTGGTGCTGCGAATTTGAGTTTCTATACTGCTCAATCCCAGCGCATCTGAGTGAAGCAAGGGGGTGGGGCGCCTGGGTCTGGGTCTTTCGGTTTCGGATGGCAGCACAGCGCCGTGGCTGGCCTAGGTTTCTAGATCGCGACATTTCCCCAGACTCCCTAGAATAAACTAACATACCTTCATTGACATGTCGTGATCTTGCACGTTTCGGATTGGCATCATCGCAGACAGCGGTGCGATGAGAGCAATGTAGCAGAGAGTCACGGATTGTGCTGAAGCCATAGACGCTAGCTAAGGCATGCTGAAGGTGGTGTCGAGGCATGCTCCACCCCCCGAAATGTGCCTGGCGCCCACATTTCATTATGATTCGTGACAAACTGTAGAACCCATTCGACACTCAGGCCGATGTTCCGTTTGGACTTCGAGTCAGACTTTGTGGATGCTTTTGCCGCCGGAGCACGGGACATTCTTTGCAGTGGGCGGCCACTGAGCGAGAATGTATTCACCAGGAGCGGCGCGAAAGGTGAGAGAGAGGGGAGAGGGGGCTTGCGCGGCGAGCTCCTGCCTTCGGTTGGCTGAGTGGAAGAGGACTCAGCATGTTGCCTAGCTTGAAGCAGGAAGTTCGAGGCGGCTTTTTCCAAGTTGGTGCATGCACCGTTTGCATTGGCAACCACGTTGTCACCCCAGAGGGCTCCAGCAGTTTTAGACTTGCCTCAGCTTGGTTTTCAGACTCCTCCCCGAGTCGCACCGAGGTCTGGAACTGTAGCCCTGGACATTGCCATGCGAGCTGTTGGGGTCGCTGGCAAGGTGAGGCTTCTGTGAGGGGATCTTGGTGTGACTGTTGCCTTCTCACTCTCGGCACGTCAGGTCGCAGTTATCCCCAGCAACACATTTTTCGCCACTCAAGTAGCTGCCTCCAATGCTGGGGCGGTCTTGGAGCCTTGACTATCAGCACAAACTTGTCTGCAGTACGGTGTAGTTCAGTGGTCTGGAACCTTGTTCCCCAGGAATGGGTTGAGATTGAGCCAGAATACATGCAGGCCGGATTTTGCTGATCAGCTTGTGCTAACACGCTATAGCTGTCGGTCTCAGGTTTGCCCGCGAAGCCTGGAAGCTGTGTTTAAAAGACATGCGCCCGGGTCGATCGCCGCCGTGGTTCTTGTGCCTGCCGGCTGACACATGTGGTCTGTTTGACTGGCATGTCGCGCTCCTTCAGTTGATTCTCCTTTGCCCACCAGAGCAAGGCACATTGCCGGCATTATCTCTCCACACTTCCGGAGAATCAGAGAGCTCTGCGCCGCAAATGGCGCTGCCTTGGTCGAGGATGCCTGCCAATCTGCATCAGGGAGCTGCTAGGATTGCTCAAGGTGGCTCCTGTCATGTGCTGTCAGTTGGAGTCAGGGTTGCAAGTCTGCAGCCGGATGCACCCATTGCTCGTGATGTCTACCATGCCCCTTCCTTGTCTTATCCTCGAAGAAGGCAGGCACTCCAGCCAGAAGACAAAAGTAGACTCTACGATGGCCTCTGCGTTGGCAAGGGATGCGACAGAGAAGGGGATTCAGTGTGCGGGAATTGAATGCGCCAGAAACAGCCAGCCAAGGGGACTCCTTGGGCTGTGCAGGCCCTGCACCGCTGACTTCCCAGAATGAGACCACTCGGCAAGCGCATGCACGCTGATGTTATGTGAGTGTGTGTGCAGCCGCCGGTCGCGCGTCACCACACAAGTTTCCCATCCTGGGCGATGCCTACACAGCGATTATGGGGAATGCCCCTTGTGTGGGCTGCATTTGCAATGTGTGGCCCCATGTGGCTTTGTAGGCTCCCAAAGTCAGGCCTTTCCATCCAGGAATTTGCCTCGTTTCCGAACAGGGAGTTGCTGTGCGGCCTGCTATTGCATCGGTCCAGCTCGAGACATCTTTATTTTCGTTTAAGCTAGCGCATGAAAGCGTACCTTTGTCAGAGCCGTTTCAGTCTATGTTAGGGACCGACAACCGCCCCGAGTATAATTCATTCCTCCATTCATGGAGGCGACCGATGCTTTACTACAAACGAAGTTGACCCGGAGTTATTGCATCGAAGAAGCAAGCTGAACTAGTTGAAGACGCAGCCCTCCTCTTTTTCCGAGTGTTGGGGCGGCTCGGATTCGTAACTCGAGTCCAGAAGATTTCTAACGCTGCCGCAGGATGCGGCCCATGCTCACACTGCTGTCTCGGACACAGAGCATGCAGGCCAGGCGGTTCTGTGCTCGTCAAGTCGAGCATCGCATCGAGCTTTGTTTCAGATCTGTAGCAACTTTGAGCAGGAATTTGTTGTTCATAACCAAGGGACCATCGGAGATGTTGCTGCCTTCTCCTTTTTTCCTACAAAGGCTCGGTTTTCCTTGCAGAGCTTAGCCGGTGCCCGGGCAGCTCTGCAGAGGTGATGACAGCTGGTGAGGCGGGAATGGTCACAACGAAAAACGAAGCTCTGTTCAAGAGGATGCAGAGCATCAAGGAGTTTGGGAAGGACCTTCGCTGCCTCCAGCAAGTGAGCCAGCAACCCGTACCAAGTCGCTGAAGGACATCGAGGGCCCAAAGTCCCGGCTTGTACAAGTGCGTAAGGATGCGACAAATGGTCGTATTTCCGAGTTGGCTGCTCAATTCGAGGTTCAATCTATTTCGATCTCAACAGCTGGTGTGAACTTATCTGTAGTTCTGCCCTCAAGGTTTACAGGGCTACTTGGCTTCCTGGAGTGCGGTCGAGTGACGGCCAGAGTTGCACGCAGAAAGCTTACCATCTCGATTGTGCACGGTGGATTTTGGGGAAAATGCTGCTGAGTTTACTCAGGCCGGAATGCCTTGTTGAGGCGTTTCGCGCAAAGGCTAGACGTCAGGTGGATTGTAAGCACGAAGCCAGTCCTGCAGAGAATTTCCTGCGGGCAGCCAGGTGCTACAGGGTTCTCCTGCAGCCAACCGGCACGGAGCTGAATGTCTATCAGTGTGCTGTCCAGATCGATTGGCATGTAGGAATGCCCAGCTTCCAACCTTTTGCCATGTCTGTCGCGGTTGAAGACCAAGCTTGCATCGAAATAGCTGCTGAACCAGTCAGTAACAAGAAGCACCACACCGTAGCGATTTGCAGCAAGACCTAGCAAAGATGCCTTGATGTGGAGCGCATCACTCGTCCTTCTCAGTTTCTTCAAGGACTTGGGTCAGGGCTTGCGGCTTCCATGCTGCATGTCAAGTTGTTGCAAACGACTGCGGAAGACACAGGCATGTGCCGGAAGAAACCCATACGACGTGCTCGGCGTGAAGCGAACGGCCAGCCAGCGAGAAATCAAGCAAGCCTACCTAAAGGCATCGCTGAAATGGCATCCGGAGACATTGCTGCAGATTGCACGTAATGAAGCTAGCCACAGGCTCGACTGTGTGGCTTTACTGGCTTTGTCGCTGCTGAGGATAAGAACCCAACGGAGGAAGCGCAGGCGAAGTTCATCGAGCTCAGCGAGGCAGATCTCACACTGCAGTGGCTGTCATGACCGTGATGTGTGGCTGAGGCCTACAGCGCACTGTCAGGATCCGCCAGCCGGGGCAAGTCCGTCCCTCGCAGCAGGGAGCGGACCAAAAAGTCTTTCGGACGTAATGCTGCCAGGCTGAAACAAGTCAAGCCAGCGCGTCTTCTTCATTCTCGTTTGCAGTAAATATGAGGTGCATCTGGCGGAGGCCTTGAAAATTTTCGCCGCGTCCGTTGGCTTGTCGTGCTTTGGCTGCCACAATGCTTCAGGGACTACGCATTACCTTGAACTGTATCTGTCCACGATGCAGTGCTGCAATGTGCGGGATACAGGAGGCAATACGAAGACCTGTTGCAGATGGGCCTTTTTCAATTCAGAGTTGGTTGAACGGGTGGTCAAGAAGATGGGGGTTGTGCAGCTTTCGTGCTTTGCACGCATGGGCCCGTGTTCGTGCATTAGGGCGAGCCGGGGTTGAAAGCAGGAAGATGGATGCTGTTTTGAAGAGGCCCGAGGCGTGCAAGGGAACGTTTCAGGGTCTGTGTCGCCGGCGGCATGTTTCGACAAATAGTCATGCCCGCGGTATAATTGTGGGGTGGTTGTTATAGTCTGACCGATTAAATTGAGACTCGCTTCTTGATCTCTTTGTCGTGTACTCCCTGTGTCTTGACAGCTCTCGTCGCTCTCGTGGGATCGATGTGAGGTTGTTTCATTGACATAGGCAAGCAGACGATTGCGCACGTTCACAGACGACACATGTTTATAGCTTGGCGCGAGTGTAGCACATGGAAGGAATGAGCTCGGCGAGATTGAGTGGGCTGCTGTGGAGACGAAGGTCTCAGAGATGCTTTCTCAAGCTGCCGAGTCCGTCGAACAAGCTCTTCGTCAACGTTATCTTCATGCAAATGGTCGCTGGCTTAGAGACCCACGCAGGACACACCGACACAATGCGACAGAGCCCGATTCCGTCCTGGCAGGTGCCATCAGGTGGCAGCAGGTGTTGGGCATCCTGGCTTGTTCACAGAGTGAGCACGTCGCCATAGATTCCCTGTAGATGTATTGAACATTCTGCGACGGATTCGCGCGAATCAACAGGAACAGCTCAACCTCAGCCTCCTCACCATGCTGTCTGGCTGCTGCTGTTTCCCCATGCGAATGTCCCGTTCGTGAACTGATCTCCGGGCCTTTGACGTTGGAACATGGCCTGGAGACTGCACGGAGTAAGTCAAGCAAACACCGCGCGCCCCGTTGTCAATTCCGAAACCGCCATGCAGTGTCTGGAGTGTGACGGCCTCGCGACTTGCTTTCACCTTCCCTACAGCTTGTTGCGTGAAATCACACGAGGCGGGAGGGACTGCACGCCTCCCGCCGAAAATCTATTGTTGGGACATATTTCGTTTGATTTCTTGAGGGTCAGGGGAGAACATAATTGCTTCTAACACAAGTGCTGCTGTCGCGACCACAGGTCATCACTGTTGCTCTTCCACTCCTACCCAGCTTTCATGGTTGAGCATGGGCTCCTGTAGGCATCATGTGGAGGCTTCCACACTGTCTCGTCCGCACTATGGCCGTGATTCGTCCTAGCGCTTGTTGATGACTCACCAGAATATCCCAGCCACTTGGCGTTTGGGGTATGATCCTTAACTTTTTCGGGTGGCTTTGCAAATACTAGCGTGATCCCACAAAGCCAAGCATGAATTGCTGTGTAATAGCAATCGAACCTGCTCCGCAGAGCTTTCGACAATCTCCTACACCTTTCAACTTGAAAAGCTGAGGAGATACTGCTGTTGCTGGAGCAGCAGCACTCATGGCAGCTTGGCTCAAGATACAGTGCGCCGTTGAAGTATGAAGTGCTGCAGTTTGCGCTCCTCTGTGCCATGCTTCCTGTTCCATGGCTTGGGATCGGAGGCAGCATTCGGCAGAGACAGCCAGGATGAACTCTGAATGTGGGACACCCTTCGAATGGAGCGAAGAAGCTGGCTCGAGAGTTGACCTTCGACAAGAATGACAAGAACATGCAAGAACTCGCAACAGGACATGCGCATTCCGTACCACCCGCCACCCGGCGGGTTGTCGTGGTGGGATGTCCTGGGTTCGCTGCCTTCGCACGAACAACGTGGTCTCTCTGCACATGGCTCCGAAAAAGCTCGCACCCATGAAACTTGCTCATCTTAGCTGCCTCTTAACTATCAGTCGGACAGCTGCAGTGAGCTCAGGCGCCAGTGCTGCCTACAAGTGTGTCAGGCGCTTGGACCTGTGAGTTGGCCGAATGGCGAACCACGAGAGCGGATGCTTTGCTGCGCTGTACTTCATTGTACCGTAATGTACTTCTAGCTGCCGGCTGAAACGGTTGTGGTGTGCTCAGGTCGTCTTCCTTCTCGACAAGGTGCACGGACGCAGAGAGGAGTTGCGCAGCTTTGCGCAGGAACGAGGCTGAAAGTCGATGAGTGTTCTACAGCTGCCGGACGGGCAAGTTCCATCTGCTGGCAAGGTGTCAGTTTTACTGGCGAGGTCTATTTCAGGCTGGTCCACTTCAGGTTGAACAATCTCGCAACTGCCTCAAGTGTGAGGCCCGTCCACCGCATGCCTGCTTACGAGAGTGGGGAAGCAGTCCATCTACCGATCACCGAAGATCTGTGTTGCGGCCTCGGGAAGAAAGTTAGCAAGAGTTGGAACGGCAACTGCAGAATCGTGTGCACGGGCGAGGTGAGAACCACGTTTGCCCACCGCTATACCCGGAACTAAGCGACGAGGATGTTGACTATGTGTGCGACGTGATGCCGTGGCCTGGGTTTTGCGAACTGCCGCGACTCAATGGTTTGTGGCCCATGTTGATTGATAACATGGCTATAAGGAACGCTTTCCTGCACGGTGTGCACGCCGACAGCGAGCCACTGCTGAAGAAGCCAAAGATACACTTGCAACGAGCGCAGCCTGTTCATACACATGTTCGCACGCATACCTCGATCGTCCATTTTGTTTCGGTGTACTTGTGAAACTTCCAGGGCTCCAGCATGCCTGCAAAAGTCCGTCATGATCAATGGGCAGAATGGGGATTCATAGTGGCAACTTGCATTCAGGCCTCTGGAAACCTGTATGTCCTGTAGGAATTCTATGGCCTTGTGAATTGTGACACTTGTACGCGGCGATGTTGCTGCTGCCGCCGAATCGGTTAGAACTTGATCGTAGCGCTTGGAACTTGAGCCGTTTGCTCTCCAAGCGCAGCTCACCTCCCCCAGCGCTGGAGGCCAGACGATGATGCAAACAAGTGGGTTCGCTGTGAAACCTGCTGTGGCGTTTCTATGCTGGGTTATCGGCCGCCAGGCACGTCATGGACCTCAACAACAGGAGCGTCTGCCACGGTCTTCCTCTGTGTCAGGAGGCACTGTAAGCGTTAAGCTGTGTGGCAAGATGTGGAAGCCGTAGAAACAACGCTTTTACGGCTGTGGCTCGGGTCTTTCTTGTCAGGTGCCGTCAGGCTTGTCGCCACCGCGGGAAGCGTATTGCTGGGACTGTCCCAATCGGCGCCTCGAGTCGCTGCAAGCAGAACAGCTCGCCGATGTCTCGTGCTCCGACACGATGCAAAAATGGAGCTACCTGCGCCGAGTTGCTCGTTTGCTTCATCATGTGTACATCGTTTGCCCATGAAGTTTTCCAGAGAATCGCGTCGTGGCTGTCTTTCAGGGCATGTGCAGCTGGAAGACGCTCGCGTCGCCATCCGAAAACTAACTCAGGACAGAGTCTCAGCTACACGACATCTCTTGACCATGGTGTGGTGTGTGTCTGTGTGTGTGCGCATGAGGCCCTGCTCCTAAAAGTCATAGAAGCAAAGAGTGCAGGGGGTCATTCCCTTTGTCATTGGTCAATGAAGAGGCCAGTGACAAGGGCTGAAAACGTACCTGCACTAAGATTCAAATTTCAGATGGCAGTGCAAATGAAGCTATTGAGCTTGCTAACCGATGGTATGACTTGGGTCAAATTGAGAAGTGTGTACTTCGGTTGGGTATCTGTCATAGCGCCAGTCGTGAGGCTCCAGCTTTACGCAGAAAGCTCGGTGGCCAGAAGGATGAGCGCAACAGATTCCCCAAAATACTCTCCTATATAAATGCTTCAAGATGACCGGACATACCAACTTGTGCCCAGCGATGATTTAGCATACGTGAAGTATGCTCTCCTACATACCAAGCGTGTGGCCGGCAATGCAAGCACAAGGGAGGGAGTGGCTGCGGCTTCGCCTGGGAAGCTCTCCATGATATGGGGGGCCTGCGGCTCAGACCTGCGAGCTCCCATCTTCGCATGTCAAAACAGGGAAGAAGATGAGAGTGGCTGCGGCTTGCCCTGCGAAGCTCTCATGCCTCGAGCAGACGGAAGATTTGCAGTTGATTGCTTGTTGCCTCAAACTTGAACGCGTACAATGGGCACGTCTCTCCCATCGCACAGGCCTTTGGCACACGTGCTCATCACCCCTTCAGTTCACCATCTTGGCTCCGGAAAGGCTTTCTCATTCATGCGTGTACCAAAGATACACACAGGGAGCGTACCTCTCCACTCGTTGTGAACTCTTTTGCGTCTGCACCACCCTTTCATTTCACCTTCCTGTCTCCCTAAAGTCTCTCTCACTCATGCATGCACCACGAAAACCAGATGCCACATACAGGGGGGCCACATCTCCACTCGTTGTGATTTTTTTGCACATGTGATCATCACCCCTTCAGTTCACCGTCCTTTCTCTTGAACGTCTTCCTCACTCATGCATGCACCACGAAAGCCAGATAACAAATGCAGGAGTAGTGTAGTTTCCGCATGCAAGTGCTTCGCGTCCTGCTTGAAACGGTAGACTCGACATGTGCGTTGGAAGCTGCAGAATCGGCATGCGCAGGTTCATGTATGTTGGTTTTATGTTGGATTTCTAGAATCGGCATGTGCAAATACAGTTTTGTTGGGGTATGTATGATTGCTTGACTGTGATCAACTACAGCTGATAGCTACCGAAAAAGGGTCACAGAAATAAGGATTGACGGGGGGCCATCCCTCTTGTCATTGGTGGATGGCCAGCGAAGAAGCCAAATGACAACAGCTGAAAACGCACCTGCACTAAGATCGAAGACCAGATTGCAGAGCAAACGAAGATGTACGTTGAAGAAGTTCGCAGAGATGCAACAGGATGAAAGAATGGGCATGAACAGATTGGAAAAGTGGATGAGACGACAGTAGTTTGCTAACCGATGGTATGACTTCGGTCATATCGAGGGTCATTCCATGTGTGTGTGTGTGTGTGAGTGGATGGGTGTTGCAACCGGCACGGGCCGTGGTTCTAGCATGCTAGTCATGCTAGTCTAGTTCAGAAGTGGAGCCAGCATCTGATAACAGAAGACGCTGTGGAATCGCAGTGTTGACAGCGCCGTGAGGAGGCTTAACCTAGGCAAGAAAATTTTTCGGCGAGGACGGCGAGCTGGAAGTATCGCTGCTACAGGGCTTATTTCAGCAGGCGGAACTGCAGGACTGCACGTGAGAGTCTGCATGACCTTGCGCTTCTGCCGGACGGTGCTTCAGGAGCTGGTTCGAGTTTGCGAGGCGCGGAACGGTTTTCAAGCCAGCCTGCAGCGAACTTCCTCTGGGGAGTTTCGGAAGGATCGGAGCCTCAGACATGCACAGATTCGATGGAAGACGGCCGCAGATCTCCGGTGTTAAATTAAGGTTGGGGATGTGATCTGAAGTGCTCCTCGGCCTGAGGATGCGCACGTCAAGCTCCTGCCCCATGTTGTGGCCACTTTTCACACCCCCGGCTGCTCGGCCGGCAGCCACCGATGGTCGCACGCGACCGCCCGACCCCGCCCCCTGCAGTGCGTGATGCGCAGCGAGGAGCGGGTTCTGCAGCTCCGGGAGGAGAACGCCAGCTTGGCAGCGGCCGTGGAGGAGGAGTTGGCGGCGGTGCTCAGAGCCGCGAAGCGCTGCGCAGAGGCGCCAAGATGCACCAAGCAGCTCGACCTCAGCGTATCTCAGCCTCGCTCGATAACGTTTGCAGGTGATCGGTGTTGACCCGGCACGAGTGGAGCCTCTCCAGCTGATACGTTACGCACCGGGACAGTGCCACTGGCAGCAGTCCCTGGCACCCTTCCCAACCATCTCCTCGATAAATCGAGACTCGCATCATGCCATATGCCCCCTGTGTTCGGGGTTCTCTGCAAGAATGGCGCTCAAGAATGAAGAGTGTGTGTGCAGGAGCTGAACCGGTTTTTATTTACTGCATTCAGGTATTACAAACCCCACATGGACACGCACGAGGAGCCACGGCGTATGTCCTCGTATGCAGGCCATGCAAAATGAATATCTGTGCACACCGCCAGCTGCTCCACATTGGATTTGTCACAGGCGAGCAACGCAGCCACACGCTTCTGGTCTTCATGAGCGATATACCTGAAGAAGACGGCGGTGGCCATCTCCACTTCCCCGAACTGGGACTGCGCATCCTGCCACGTGCTGGAGATGCTGTGCTGTGGCCCAACTTGACGGATGAGGGTGAGCCTAACCCGCACGGGCCCCGGATGGTCCGGGCAGCGAGGGCTTTCACACGTGGTTGGTTTTCAAGCTGAGGCAGGCTCTTCACGAAGGTGTCGCGCCTGTCACCTGTGAGAAGATTGCTTGGGGCCCAGTCCAGCTACGCCAGAGCTTGCAAAATCCACAGCAACAATCCACGTCCATGAATAAGGCCATGAACGTTTGGGTCGCAGAGCGGCCTTTCACCCTGGAATCCATTGCTACATGGTCAGCAAGCCTTGTTTTGCAAGTGCCTGCGACTGTTATGAACTGATGAGTATGCGGGTCGCCCCCTTCCGGGAAAACAACTTTGTATACCAAATAAGCGAACTCATTTCTTGTCAAGTGTGCTGGGGGTCGGCTCACACTGCACCCAGAACTGGTGGAGGGAGAAGGCGAAGGAGGAGGAGGAGGAGGAGGAGTACTAGTTACTAGTAGTAGTACCAGCAGCACCAGAAGTACTAGTACGACTAGAAGCACGAGTGAGTAGTTAATAGCACTTCATTGCTACGGTAGTCGTGGACCGTCGTTGTCGCCGTAGTAGAAGGAGCAAATGTATGATCATGGTTTTTGCAGTTTTTGTAAGTTCCTGTTTTTGGTCGTGGTCGTGGTCTTGGTAGCAGTAGTCGCCGCCATAGTCGGAATAGTCGTCGTAATAGTGTCACAACAGTCGTAGTGACGTAGTGGTCATGTTCGTGGAGGTGGTAGTAGGTCGGAGTCCGAGTCTTGGTCGTGGTCGTCGTCGCCGTCCCAGTAGTAGTAGTAGTAGTAGTAGTAGTAGTAGTAGTAGGAGTAGTAGTAGTAGTAGTAGTAGCAGGAGTAGTAGTAGTAGTAGTAGTAGTAGTAGGAGCAGTAGCAGTACCAGTACCAGTACCAGTAGCAGTAGCAGTAGCAGTAGCAGTAGTAGTAGTCGTAGTCGTAGTGTTAGTCGTAGTCGTAGTCGTAGTCGTAGTAGCTGTAGTAGTAGTAGTAGTAGTAGTAGTAGTAGTAATAGTAGTAGTACGCGCATAGTGCGGGGTTCGTCCCCCCACACTTGTCCACACTGGGTTGGTTTAGGGTTTGGCTACCAACATCTCCTTTTAGGATTTTCGGCTTGCTCTCCAACATTTGCTGTTTAGGGTTTAGGGCTTGGCTACCAACATCTCCTTTTAGGGTTTTCGGCTTGCTCTCCAACATCTGCCTTTTTAGGGTTTAGGGCTTGGCTACTACCAACATCTCCTTTTAGGATTTTCGGCTTGCTCTCCAACATCTGCCGTTTTAGGGTTTAGGACATCTCCTTTTAGAGCCTAGGGTTTGGCTACCAACATCTCCTTTCTTAGGGTTTCGGATTTGCTTCCATTGCGCTGTGCAAAAAGAACATGGCCAAGAAACGGCCCTGCGGCCTGAGCCCTGCTGGCTGCCTCGGAGTCTCAAAAGTATTTCGCTGGCCACGTATTATGAAATTTCGGCTGCCGCGGCAGACACCAATTTGCGCGACAAAATTGGATTTGTTTGCGGCCCTCGAACTCTCGAAAATTTGGCAGTTCGCTGCCTATCAAACAAAGGCTCCTGGGGGCAGACCCCACACTACGCCCGTAGTAGTAGTAGTAGTAGTAGTAGTAGTAGTAGTGGTAGTAGTAGTAGTAGTATTAGTAGTGGTGGTAGTAGTAGTAGTAGTCGTCGTCGTCGTCGTTGTAGTAGTAGTAGTAGTAGTAGTAGTAGTAGGAGTAGCAGGAGTAGTAGGAGTAGTAGGAGTAGTAGGATCGAGTAGCAGTAGCAGCAGT